ATGGAAAAAACTCTAAACCAGGAACAACGGGGTAGAACATAAAATGGAAACCGTTTAATGTCCTAATACCAGTCCTTTTAACTCTTATTTTTAACTCCTTATACTACTCCTTTTAACTCTATATACTTCTGGAAAAACGATAGCAAACTTACACTGTTGGAAAGCTTAGTAAATTCTGCTGACAAACGATATGTCTATCTTGAAAGGACAGACACCAAAGCTAACCAAGACCAATGCACGGTCTTAAAAACTAACATCAAGCTCCTCTGTTATAGGCCTACTGTGAAACAGCAAGAGAAGGACGAGTCCAGGCAAGTGCAGAGTCGTTGACTGACTAAGAGAGAGAAGTGGTTGGCTGACTCAGAGGAAGAAGCAAGGCCAGACATGGTATCAGTGAACAAACTGACTGCCTACAAAGCATGAGCAATAGCTGTTCCGACAGCGGCATAAAACAACTTCAAATTAAATTAGGCCAAGTAGAGCTGCTCTGTATTTAAAATCCATGAAATACAAATACTGTACATTGTGATGATTAATATTACAAATTAAGGCTAATAAGTAATATGCTAGCTTGACCAACTTCCTTTTAGGCAGTCTAAATGCACTAACTTTTTAATCCTAATTCATCATTTTATCAAAATACCCATGCCACATTTTTTTTTTTTTTTTTTTTTTACTTACCACAGTTGAACTACTGTGCTTTGGACACCAATCTCTGAATTGAAGTGCTTTTCATTCTACCAACTTAGTTTGCCCTTGGACTCTGGCCAACAAGTCTGTGACTTTTCTCAGTGGAGGCGTTAGGTAGGGTAGGGACGGCGGGAATGGACAGTCTGTACCTTCAAGACATATATCCAAGAGCGACCCAGCGGGTTCCTCCTCGCTCTCTAGCAATATTCTGATTAGAGGGGATTTTACTTGCAACGAACAGCCACTCCTCTCCTGTCAAATATTAACTTCACCTTGCGATAAACCTGTACGCCTCACCACCTGTCCAGGCATGCAGACAAACGACAGACGTCCTTCGCAGAGAGAGATTTCCTTGAGCCTCTGGCCTAAAGGCAGAATTATCTAGTTTTAATTATCCAGTCTCCCGAGTGGCGCAGTGGTCTAAGGCACTGCATCGCAGTGCTAGCTGTGCCACTAGAGATCCTGGTTCGAATCCAGGCTCTGTCATAGCTGGCCGCGACCGGGACACCCATGGGGCGGCGCACAATTGGCCCAGGGTAGGGGAGGGAATGGCCGGCAGGGATGTAGAGCATGGCGTTTGCAATGCCAGGGTTGTGGGTTCGATTCCCACGGGGGGCCAGTATGAAAAAAAAAAAAATTATGCACTAACTGTAAGTCGCTCTGGATAAGAGCGTCTGCTAAATGACTAAAATGTATCTATTGTTTAGAGTTAAAGGGCTAATTCTATATTTTGGTCATTAGGCCATTTGCAATAAAGGGGTATTCAAACTTTTTCAGCAGGGACCCCATTTTTTCTGCCAGATTTTCTGGGGACGCCATTTTTTCCATGCAAATGTCTAGCAACCCAAAGGCTGCGTGTTTGAATCTCATCATTGACAACTTTATCATTTTAGCTACTTAGCAACTACTTATCAGCTACTCTGCAACTACTTTGCATGTTAGCTAACCCTTCCCCTAACCTTAACCCCTAGCATAGCTAACATTCGCCACCTAGCTAACATATATGTTTTGCAAATCTGTAACATATTGTACCAACTGCAATTCGTAACATACCATATGAATTGTAATTCATAACATATAAGAAATGGATGGACATCCACACATTAATAGATACAGTGCCTTCAGAAAGTATTCACACCCCTTGACCGTTTCCACATTTTGTTGTTACAAAGTGGGATTAAAATTGATTTGTCATTTGTCAATGATCTACACAAAATACTCTAATGTCAAAGTATAAGAAAAATGTGAACATTAGTTAAACATTCATGGGGAAAAAAACACTAATATCTTGATGAGATAAGTATTCAACCCCCTGAGTAAATGCTTTACAATCACCTTTGGTAGCGATTACAGCAGTGATTCTTTCTGGGTAAGTCTACGCCTGGATTGTGCAACATTTGCCCGTTATTCTTTCAAAATTCTTCAAGCTCTGTCAAATTGCTAGACAACCATTTTCAGGTCTTGCCATAAATTTACAAGCACATTTAAGTAATAAAATCTAATTCTGCCACTCAGGAACATTCACGGTCTTCTTGGTAAGGAACTCATGTAGATTTGGCCTTGTGTTTTAAATTATTGTTCTGCTGAAAGGCAAAGTCATCTCCCAGTGTCTGGTGGAAAGCAAACTGAACCAGGTTTTCCTCTAGGATTTTGCTTGTGCTTAGCTCCATTCCGTTTCTTTTTTATCCTGAAAAACTCCCCAGTCCTTAACGCAGGGTTTCCCAAACTCTGTCCTCGGGATCCCATGGGGTGCACGTTTTGTTTTTTTGTCCTAGCACTACACAGCTGATTCAAATAATCAATTAATAAAGCTTTAATAATATGAATCAAAAACCAAAACGTGCACCCCTTGGGGTACCGAGGACTGAGTTTGGGAAACACTGCCTTAACGATTACACGCATACCCATAACATGATGCAGCCACCACTATGCTTGAAAATATGGAGTGGTACTCAGTACTGTGTTGTATTGGACTTGCCCCAAACATAACACTTTTGTATTCAGGACAAAATTGTAATTGCTTAGCCAAATTTTTTGCAGTATTACTTTGGTGCCTTGTTGCAAACAGGATGCATATTTTTATTCTGTACAGGCTTCCTTCTTTTCACTCTGTCAATTAGGTTAGTATTGTGGATTAACTACAATGTTGTTGTTCCATCCTCAGTTCTAGCATAGCCATTAAGCTATGCAAGTGATTTAAAGTCACCATTGCCCTCATGGTGAAATCCCTGAGTGGTTTCGTTCCTTTCCGGCAACCGAGTTAGGAAGGACGCCTGTATTTCTGTAGTGACTGGGTGTATTGATACACCATCCAAAGTGTAATAACTTCACCATGCTCAAAGGGATATTCAATTTCTGCTTCAACGGCTGTGAATACCTTCTGAAGGCACTGTATGTCAGACCATACGTAACGTATACTAAATTGGAGTGTCCCAGATCTACATTTACTATGTTAATTCTACCACCCCAAAAAAAACACACAACACAAGTCTTGCTGGATAACTGCCAGGGTATGCCATGCTCTAACTTCAGACATAACTCAGATGTACTTCTGTCAAAACCCTGTTACTGTACCATCAAACTGTTCAGAGATTAATGAACACACCCTCTACAGGCCATACAGTGGGGGAAAAAAAGTATTTAGTCAGCCACCAATTGTGCAAGTTCTCCCACTTAAAAAGATGAGAGAGGCCTGTAATTTTCATCATAGGTACACGTCAACTATGACAGACAAATTGAGAGAAAAAAAATCCAGAAAATCACATTGTAGGATTTCTAATGAATTTATTTGCAAATTATGGTGGAAAATAAGTATTTGGTCAATAACAAAAGTTTCTCAATACTTTGTTATATACCCTTTGTTGGCAATGACACAGGTCAAACTTTTTCTGTAAGTCTTCACAAGGTTTTCACACACTGTTGCTGGTATTTTGGCCCATTCCTCCATGCAGATCTCCTCTAGAGCAGTGATGTTTTGGGGCTGTCGCTGGGCAACACAGACTTTCAACTCCCTCCAAAGATTTTCTATGGGGTTGAGATCTGGAGACTGGCTAGGCCACTCCAGGACCTTGAAATGCTTCTTACGAAGCCACTCCTTCGTTGCCCGGGCGGTGTGTTTGGGATCATTGTCATGCTGAAAGACCCAGCCACGTTTCATCTTCAATGCCCTTGCTGATGGAAGGAGGTTTTCACTCAAAATCTCACGATACATGGCCCCATTCATTCTTTCCTTTACACGGATCAGCCGTCCTGGTCCCTTTGCAGAAAAACAGCCCCAAAGCATGATGTTTCCACCCCCATGCTTCACAGTAGGTATGGTGTTCTTTGGATGCAACTCAGCATTCTTTGTCCTCCAAACACGACGAGTTGAGTTTTTACCAAAAAGTTCTATTTTGGTTTCATCTGACCATATGACATTCTCCCAATCCTCTTCTGGATCATCCAAATGCACTCTAGCAAACTTCAGACGGGCCTGGACATGTACTGGCTTAAGCAGGGGGACACGTCTGGCACTGCAGGATTTGAGTCCCTGGCGGCGTAGTGTGTTACTGATGGTAGGCTTTGTTACTTTGGTCCCAGCTCTCTGCAGGTCATTCACTAGGTCCCCCCGTGTGGTTCTGGGATTTTTGCTCACCGTTCTTGTGATCATTTTGACCCCACGGGGTGAGATCTTGCGTGGAGCCCCAGATCGAGGGAGATTATCAGTGGTCTTGTATGTCTTCCATTTCCTAATAATTGCTCCCACTGTTGATTTCTTCAAACCATGCTGCTTACCTATTGCAGATTCAGTCTTCCCAGCCTGGTGCAGGTCTACAATTTTGTTTCTGGTGTCCTTTGACAGCTCTTTGGTCTTGGCCATAGTGGAGTTTGGAGTGTGACTGTTTGAGGTTGTGGACAGGTGTATTTAATACTGATAATAAGTTCAAACAGGTGCCATTAATACAGGTAACGAGTGGAGGACAGAGGAGCCTCTTAAAGAAGAAGTTACAGGTCTGTGAGAGCCAGAAATCTTGCTTGTTTGTAGGTGACCAAATACTTATTTTCCACCATAATTTGCAAATAAATTCATTAAAAATCCTACAATGTGATTTTCTGGAAAAAAAATTCTCAATTTGTCTGTCATAGTTGACGTGTACCTATGATGAAAATTACAGGCCTCTCTCATCTTTTTAAGTGGGAGAACTTGCACAATTGGTGGCTGACTAAATACTTTTTTCCCCCACTGTATACAGGCAGTAAATGCTAAAAATGAATACAACCGTTGAAAAAACAAGCAAAACAGTCATAATGAATAAAAGCTATACTTTATTCTGAACAATCAACTGCATTTAACAGAAATAAAACAATTAAATTGAAATCATAACAGATAAAGAGACTAACAAAACAATTATTACAACAGCAACATCTACAAATATGAGACAAAGAAAATCTAAATAGCCACACTGACAGTGTACTAGGAAGGCAGTGCTAGGAAAAAAAACTAGGCGCCATAGCAAGCAAATTTAGACTTCTTCATGTCTTCAAGTAGCTCTGTGAGGACTGACACAGAAGGCCTGTCTCCGGGATTCAGAACGGTCCGGAAGAACTTGCTCCAAAACGCATCGCTCCGGTCACTGTAAATAAAAAGAGTTTGCTTGAGGAACAGGGGATGAAAGACAATACCTGCGGCCCAATAATCGAATAATGTGTCCTTTCTCCCGAATTGTGCACTCATTCACTTCCCTTCATGGATTTGGTACAAGGCCGCAGGACCAGACTGATTAACAGGACACTTACTCAGAGCTTGCGCTGACCAGCTGGCAAGCGTCTTCACTGCCATTTTCAACCTTTCCCTGACCCAGTCTGTAATAACTGCATGTTTCAAGCAGACCACCATACTCCCGGTGCCAAAGAACGCCAAGGTAACCCGTGTAAATGACTACCACCCTGAAGCACTCACATCTGTAGCCATGAAATGCTTTGAAAGGCTGGTCATGGCTCACATCAACACCATTATCCCAGAAACCCTGGACCCTCTCCAATTTGCATACCGCCCCAACAGATCTTGCAATCTCTATTGCACTCCACACTGCCCTCTCCCACCTGGAAAAAAAAGAACACCTATGTGAGAATGCTGTTCATTGACTACAGCTCAGTGTTCAACACCATAGTGCCCTCCAAGCGCATCACTAAGCTAATGACCCAGGGACTGAACACATCCCTCTCCAACTGGATCCTGGAACTTCCCGACACCACCTGGGCCGTCTCCAGGTGGTGAGGGTAGGCAACAACACATCTGCCACGCTGACCCTCAACACGGGGGCCCCCCAGGGGTGCGTGCTTGGTCCCTCCTGTACTCGGTTCACCCACAACTGCGTGGTCGTGCACGACTCCTACACCATTATTAAGTTTGCAGACGACGCAACGGTGGTTGGCCTGATCACCGACGACAATGAGACAGCCTACAGGGAGGAGGTCAGAGACCTGGCAGTGTGGTGCCAGGACAACAACCTCTCCCTCAATGTGAGCAAGACAAAGGAGCTACAGTAAACAGAGGGCCGAGCACGCCCCCATTCACATCGACAGGGCTGTAATGGAGCGGGTCAAGAGCTTCAAGATCATCGGTGTCCACATCACTATGGACCTATTATGGTCCAAACACACCAACACAGTTGTGAAGAAGGCATGACAACACCTCTTCCCACTCAGGAGGCTGAAAAGATTTGGCATGGCATGAGCCCTCAGATGGTACTTTTCAGATTTTATTTACATAACAATGGCTAACTGAACTTCAACACCTCACAAAGCAACAGGGTTAAAGTTGTCAACTTAAATTTTTTAAATATATATATACAGCTCTGGGGAAAAATTAAGAGACCACTGCAAATGTTTCTTAAATCAGCATCTCTACATGTATGACAGCCATTCCATTCCAGTGTCTGTTGAATTCCAACACAGGCACACCTCATTCTACTGAATTAGGTACTGATTATGCGATCACCTGAACCAAATCTTATTTAACGATGAAAAGTATAAAAAATCACTGCTGTGGTCATTACTATCCTCTTGCAATAGGACCAGCTGGATGGCAAAAACAGTCCAAATAGTACCTCAAAAGTAATATTAATCAAAAAATAACTACGGACCATGCCAAAAGAGTTGAAAAGGAAAGTTTTGAGTGAGGAAAAGAAGGGTTCAATTCTGGCTTTACTGGCAGAGGGATACAGTGAGCGTCAGGTTGCTTCCGTCCTTAAAATTTCAAAGACGGCGGTTCATAAGAACAAGGTCAAGCAGCAGACATTGGGGACAACAAAGCTACAGACCGGCAGAGGGCGAAAACGACTCTCTACTGACCGGGATGACCGCCAACTCATTCGAATGTCACTCAACAACCGTAGGATGACATCAAGTGACCTACAAAAAGAATGGCAAACGGCAGTTGGGGTGAAGTGCACGGTGAGGACGGTTCGAAACAGGCTCCTAGGGGCAGGGCTGAAGTCGTGCAAAGCTAGAAAAAAGCCCTTCATCAATGAGAAGCAAAGAAGAGCCAGGCTGAGGTTTGCAAAAGACCATAACGATTGGACAGTAGAGGACTGGAGTAAGGTCATTTTCTCTGATGAGTCCAACTTTGCCCAACACCTGGTCGTCTAATGGTTAGACGGGAGACCTGGAGAGGCCTACAAGCCACAGTGTCTCGAACCCACTGTGAAATTTGGTGGAGGATCGGTGATGATCTGGGGGTGCTTCAGCAAGGCTGGAATCGGGCAGATTTGTCTTTTTGAAGGACGCATGAATCAAGCCACGTACAAGGTTGTCCTGGAAGAAAACGTGCTTCCTTTTGCTCTGACATTGTTCCCCAACTCTGAGGATTGGTTTTTCCAGCAGGACAATGTGCCATGCCACACAGTCAGGTCAATCAAGGTGTGGATGGAGGACCACCAGATCAAGACCCTGTCATGGCCAGCCCAATCTCCAGACCTGAACCCCATTGAAAACTTCTGGAATGTGATTAAGAGGAAGATGGATGGTCACAAGCCATCAAACGAAACCGAGCTGCTTGAATTTTTGCGCCAGGAGTGGCATAAAGTCACCCAACATCAATGTGAAAGACTGGTGGAGAGCATGCCAAGACGCATGAAAGCTATGATTGAAAATCAGGGTTATTCCACCAAATATTGATTTCTGAACTCTTCCTAAGTTAAAACATTAGTATTGTGTTGTTTAAAAATGAACATGAACTTAATTTCTTTGCATTATTCGAGGTCTGACAACGCTGCATCTTTTTTGTTATTTTGACCAGTTGTCATTTTCTGCAAATAAATGCTCTAAATGATAATATTTTTATTTGGAATTTGGGAGAAATGTTGTCAGTAGTTTATAGAATAAAAACAAAATGTTAATTTTATCCAAACACATACCTCTAAATAGGAAAACCAGAGAAACTGATCATTTTCCAGTGCTCTCTTAATTTTTTCCAGAGCTGTATATATATCTGTGAAACTGTACATTTTACTTGTGGATTTTGAAAATAAAAATCAAGGTGTCAATTTGTCTACATGCCATTTTAAAAACAATGCAGATATTAAACCTATTTTGGTTTAAGACAAGTAACTATGAGTAAGGGCAAATAAGCTTGCAAGTAGAGTTTGAATAAGACATCCAATTACAACTTTGCATTTAGAAAGGTTGGTTTCATTAGATAATAAATAAGCAAATGATTGATGAACACTAGATAAAATAAATGCATGTCTCTCGTCTGCCCCTCCCTCATCTGATTGGTCATTTCCCACCAACCGCAAGCCGGCACACGTGTCATCATACCCCCTCATCCGATTGGTGGAGTAGGCGGGCCTTGTGAGGACCCAGTGGCAGAACATGACAAGAGGAAACCGTACTGTACCTGGGGTGTGCTTCCTGATATTCCTCCAGTGTCCACGCTGAGTCTTCCTTAACCAGGCGCATGGTTCTCTTCTTCAGCAGAGTGTGCACAGTCTCTGCAATACCCAGGAGATCCACCTGTAATCAGGGAGAGGAGGGGGGGGGCGATAGCTACTGAACTAGAGCAGAGCAACTCTATGAATCGTAAATGGAGGTATCTGGTAGATTTTTAGATGGGCTTTATTTACTTACACAAATACATGTGGCAGTTTACATAACAAGAGTCACTTGAGACTCAAAGCCACAAGAGGGTAGAACACATTTCAAACTTTGCTTGCAGCTTACATAAGACAAGAACATGATTAAAAAGAGAAACAAATTAATAAACAGACATCTGGGTGGGTGAGGTACAGAAGAGTATTGGGCCATGCAATAAATCACAGAATAACTCAAATACATCCTACATACTGTAAATAAAGTGAGCATAAAGATGATGCTGATGGGGGCAGGCCAGGATTTTTTTTGGGGGGGGCGTCCATATCAATTTAAAAACAGTGAAACCTTTCGACTTTCCTCTGGAGAGCACGTAGCCATGTGACGATGCCAACAAGAGAGAGGTATGCACCGTACCTGATAAGGGCTGGCAGAAGGGGCTAGAAGGCCTTGTGTGATGAAGTCCTGGGCAGCTGGGAGGCTGTGTGCTGCAGTCACCTCCGGCTGAAGCTCCAGGTCCACGGAGCAGGAGAAGTCCAGCGCCACGGCGGCACCAATCTCATCCGTTGGTTCATCATGAGGACTGGGGGGGGTGGAAAGGAAAGGAAGATTAAGACTGGTAGATTATCTGACTGATTTAAAGATCTAATCCACGTTTAGGGAAACGGCACTACTGTTGCCCCCCCGCGTCCAATGATGTCCCTTTTTAATAAGTGTTGTTTGCAGTAACTTCTTAGTTTTTGTAATATCCCAAACGGTTGTGGCCGTGGCACCCATTAAGGACTCTTAGCTTTAAGAAAAACATGGAGATCTTAATCTTAAGTATGGCTGTATTTATCAAACATGACTTTCTTGGTTTCATAATGTGATTTGTCCAGGGACTTTTAGCCATATGCACGTAGGGACCTTATAGGAGGAACTAGTGCGTGTGGTCTAAAATCACCTGAGGCTCTAAAAAGAACAAAACAAAGGTGTATGCAAGCATGCAAGGCCTAGTGTGTCTAAGTAATATGCCTGTATGTCAGGCGTCTGAACTATGCATGCAAGTCTGTGTTTGGCAACTCATACGCATGCGTGGCTGGACCGTGTGTGTGCATACCGATTCATGACCAGTGTGTCTGGACTGAGGGCTCCGTGGATCAGGTGGCAGGAGTGCATGAGTCTCACCAGCTCCACTGTCTGCATGGCCAGGGAGGCCACGACTTCCTCAAAGGTCTCCTCAGCCACCGCCTGTGTAGGCCAGAAGGAGAGGAACCACAACAGACCTTATCAACGGTTCTTTCTTATTAGAATCCTGTTCTTTACATCATAGCTAAATGTTATGCAAAAAGAACCCCCAACAACTAGCGGTTCTTACTGGACGAGTTCAAATAGAACCTCCTCGTCTCAGATCATTTTCTTCCGTTTAATGCCTACTGAACACCACCCAAGATGATGTCATCTCATTTTATAAATGGTTTATACACAGAGCTATTGTTATTCTTTGGGGTGTGGATATAACATACTTGGCAAAACGTCACAATATGAAGTACCATTAATTACCACTTTTGTGTATGTCTATGGATAGATTCTATAAGGGTGCAATAATGCAAGGAGGACGGAGGTGGAACTACCCACACGCAGTGTGCTCTGCTGGGGGGCCTTGTGGACTGTGACGCAGCCGTCCTGGAACAGGAAGCAGCGCCCCGCGTCGTGGACGGGTGCCTGGGAGTCCCGGGCTAGTCGCTCCCTCAGCTGTGAGCCGATGTAGAAGTCCCAGGGCACTGTGTTGTGCTCCAGCTGCACAAGGCAACAGTGGCGTGTTAGAGCTCAACTCAGCTGGAGAACCTTGTAAACTAACTGTCAATACGATCATGTTGATCTCATGGACAGTCATTGCATCCATAGCACCATAGAGTGAGGGAAAAAAGTATTTGATCCCCTGCTGATTTTGTACGTTTGCCCACTGACAAAGACATGATCAGTCTATAATTTTAATGGTAGGTTTATTTGAACAGTGAGAGACAGAATAACAAAGAAATCCAGAAAAACGCATGTCAAAAATGTTATAAATTGATTTGCATTTTAATAAGGGAAATAAGTATTTGACCCCTCTGCAAAACATGACTTAGTACTTGGTGGCAAAATCCTTGTTGGCAATCACAGAGGTCAGACGTTTCTTGTAGTTGGCCACCAGGTTTGCACACATCTCAGGAGGGATTTTGTCCCACTCCTCTTTGCAGATCTTCTCCAAGTTATTAAGGTTTCCAGGCTGACGTTTGGCAATTCGAACCTTCAGCTCCCTTCACAGATTTTCTATGGGATTAAGGTCTGGAGACTGGCTAGGTCACTCCAGGACCTTCATGTGCTTCTTCTTGAGCCACTCCTTTCTTTCCTTGGCCGTGTGTTTTGGGTCATTGTCATGCTGGAATACCCATCCACGACCCATTTTCAATGCCCTGGCTGAGGGAAGGAGGTTCTCACCCAAGATTTGACGGTACATGGTCCCCGTCCATCGTCCCTTTTATGCGGTGAAGTTGTCCTGTCCCCTTAGCAGAAAAACACCCCCAAAGCATAATGTTTCCACCTCCATGTTTGACGGTGGGGATGGTGTTCTTGGGGTCATAGGCAGCATTCCTCCTCCTCTTCCAAACACGGCGAGTTGAGTTGATGCCAAAGAGCTCAATTTTGGTCTCATCTGACCACAACACTTTCACCCAGTTACAGTGGGGGAAAAAGTATTTAGTCAGCCACCAATTGTGCAAGTTCTTCCACTTAAAAAGATGAGAGAGGCCTGTAATTTTCATCATAGGTACACGTCAACTATGACAGACAAAATGAGGGGGGAAAAAAAATCAAGAAAATCACATTGTAGGATTTCTAATGAATTTATTTGCAAATTATGGTGGAAAATAAGTATTTGGTCAATAACAAAAGTTTCTCAATACTTTGTTATACACCCTTTGTTGGCAATGACACAGGTCAAACGTTTTCTGTAAGTCTTCACAAGGTTTTCACACACTGTTGCTGGTATTTTGGCCCATTCCTCCATGCAGATCTCCTCTAGAGCAGTGATGTTTTGGGGCTGTCGCTGGGCAACACGGACTTTCAACTCCCTCCAAAGATTTTCTATGGGGTTGAGATCTGGAGACTGGCTAGGCCACTCCAGGACCTTGAAATGCTTCTTACGAAGCCACTCCTTCGTTGCCCGGGCGGTGTGTTTGGGATCATTGTCATGCTGAAAAGACCCAGCCACGTTTCATCTTCAATGCCCTTGCTGATGGAAGGAGGTTTTCACTCAAAATCTCACGATACATGGCCCCATTCATTCTTTCCTTTACACGGATCAGTCGTCCTGGTCCCTTTGCAGAAAAACAGCCCCAAAGCATGATGTTTCCACCCCCATGCTTCACAGTAGGTATGGTGTTCTTTGGATGCAACTCAGCATTCTTTGTCCTCCAAACACAACGAGTTGAGTTTTTACCAAAAAGTTCTATTTTGGTTTCATCTGACCATATGATATTCTCCCAATCCTCTTCTGGATCATCCAAATGCACTCTAGCAAACTTCAGACGGGCCTGGACATGTACTGGCTTAAGCAGGGGGACACGTCTGGCACTGCAGGATGCAATTTTATTCTCAATTTGTCTGTCATAGTTTGACATGTACCTATGATGAAAATTACAGGCCCTCTCTCATCTTTTAAGTGGGAGAACTTGCACAATTGGTGGCTGACTAATAATTTTCTCCCCCACTGGTATCCCTCTGAATCATTCGATGTTCATTGGGCAAACTTCAGAAGGGCATGTATATGTGCTTTCTTGAGCAGGGGGACCTTGCGGGCGCTGCAGGCGCTGCAGGATTGTCATCCTCTCAAGGCGTGTGGCGTTACCATGTGTTTTCTTGGACTATGGTCCAGGGGACCTTGCGGCGCTGCGTTCGCCTTCAAGAGACAATTGTTTTCTTGGTGACTATGAGATCATTGACAAGATCCTCCCGTGTAGTTCTGGGGTGATTCCTCACCCTTCTCATGATCCATTGCAACTCACGAGGTGAGATCTTGCATGGAGCCCCAGGCCGAGAGAGATTGACAGTTCTTTTGTGTTTCTTCCATTTGCGAATAATCGCACCAGCTTTTGTCACTTTCTCACCAAGCTGCTTGGCGATGGTCTTGTTGCCCATTCCAGCCTTGTGTAGGTCTACAATCTTGTCCCTGACATCCTTGGAGAGCTCTTTGGTCTTGGCCATGGTGAAGAGTTTGGAATCTGATTGATTGATTGCTTCTGTGGACAGGTGTCTTTTATACAGGTAACAAGCTGGGATTAGGAGCACTCCCTTTAAGAGTGTGCTCCTAATCTGAGCTCTTTACCTGTATAAAAGACACCTGGGAGCCAGAAATTTTTCTGATTGAGAGGGGGTCAAATACTTATTTCCCTCATTAAAATGCAAATCAATTTTTAACATTTTTGACATGCGTTTTTCTGGATTTTTTTGTTGTTATTCTGTCTCTCACTGTTCAAATAAACCTACCATTAAAATTATAGACTGATAATTTCTTTGTCAGTGGGCAAATGTACAAAATCAGCAGAGGATCAAATACTTTTTTCCCTCACTGTATATGAACTTGAGTGGAATCATTTCTCCAGCCCCACCCCTCAGCTTTATAGCAAACCAAGTGGCGGGGCAAACTCAGAACTTTGGCTTTAAAATAAAGCCAACGTTCCGAGCGAACCAGCAGTGCGATTTTGCTTTATCTGCAATTCTAGTTCGATAGAGGTGGAGCCTGCATGTATGAAATCATTAAACTCTTCAACTCACCTAAAAGGACAGTTATTTAAATCTACTGTGAGTTTATAATCATTCACTAGCCTTACCTTAATGGCAACGTCACCCCCACCTCGGCCTGCATAGATGGAAAACTTCTCACAGTCCATCTTGGAGTAGGTAGCAAAGGTCTCGTTCCCTTTAAGCAAGACGGTTCAAAAAAAGGTGAACAAGCGGTGTAGAATTATAATCCACCCACCAATCAATAATTTAAACCAACCAACTATCCATCCATCAGTAATTTAAACCAACCATCCATCCATCCATCCCTTAAACCAACCATCCACCCATCATTTAAACCAACCATCCATCGTTGATTATTAGTTGAAATACCTAGGATCAGCACATCATCTTCCTCAACCATGGGAAGGGGACCATCCTCTGAGTAGAAGTTTGGAAAGGAGCTCAGGTCCACTTGATCCAGCAAACGCTGTCTCACCCCCACACTGCAAGGGTCCTCAATCACAGGTTGGACTACAATACCAGGAAGGGAAAACAAAGCATTTCAACACCAAATAGACTTGACTTATTCCTTTCAGCTCCTAGTGAAGCCAAGGGTCTCAACTAGACTAGTCATACACAATTAATGGAATCCAAAATTAATGGGCACTGGGTTGTACCGCCAAATAGTCAGAGCACAGTGTTGAATAGGTGAAATGAAATGTCAGTGTGCGATTGAGAACATTAGTAATTCACAACTAATAGACTCTTATGAACCACATGGACAATTACCTGCAATACTATGGAGCAATGCTTCTACTGAAACATAAGATTACAAACAGTCAAAATGAAAAGGTATTTTTTTTATTTTTTTAAATAAAAGGATTAGAATGCTTTTTTCCCCCTTCAGTCTTTTTTCTGTCCACTAAACTGCCATGTGCAACACAATTCCATGACTTTTACTTTGAATGAGTTTAAATACGGCTTTCTTGGACAGCCAAAGAAAAAGGCAGGGAAGAATTTCTACTGGAAATAGTATTTGTGTGTAATTCAGTGCTGAAGAGATTATTTTCTTTACATTTATGTAATTTAGCAGACGCTCTTATCCAGAGCGACTTACAGTAGTGCATACATTTCATACTTTTATTTTTCTCCTCTGTACTGGTCCCCCGTGGGAATCGAACCCACAACCCTGGCGTTGCAAGCGCCATGCTCTACCAACTGAGCCACACGGGACTAGACCATCCTGATACTCACTGGATGGTGAATTCTGTTCCATGGCTTCGGGGTGGGGTGCTGCGTGGCTCTCCTCCAGCCTGCCGAGGTGGTGGACGGCCTTGCCTCCAGAGTTTGTGCCCACAGAGGAGGTGGAGGTGGGGCCTGAAGCCATGGAACCCCAAGCCTCCAGGCTGGCTTCCTGGATGGGGCTGCAGAACAAACATCAAGGAGATAGTCAGAAGAGCCCTGTTCAAATACATATTTTCTTGCTCCTTGAAGTAATTACTGATCTGACATAATTGGTGAAAGCAACACAATAGGTTTTAGAATGTTCATAGCTCATTAGAGCTGCACGTTATGACTTTGCAATGTATTTTCCATTTGAGCAGGGTTGTGTTCATTAGGCACGAAACGGAAGAAAACGAGGTGTAAAGCGGGGAGGTACTACCTGAACTTGTCCAATAAGATATGGTCGTTTTCAGATCCCTTTATAAAACATTTTGCTACAGTGTGCCCGTATCAATGAACACAGCCCCGGCTTATCATCATGACTTGCACTGGCAGAGACTCTCGAGAGGGAGGGAAAAGCTACTGAGCTCGCTGCCATCAAACTCTCAATAAGGCTAGCGGACCCTTGTCGGTCGGGTCAAAACTCATTGGGTGGTAAAACTATACCTGAGCATCTTCCTTCCTTCCGAGTCGGCGTCAGGTTGAGGGGTCATGCCGGGCTCTTTGGTCAGAGTGCCAGCGTTGGGTGAGACCGCCCTCTGTCCCGTGGCGTGATAAGGAGAGGAAGCCATCTTGGCGGCCTTCACAAAGTCCTGCGTGTCCTCGGGGCTGGCGCACAGCGTCTTGTTCTTGTGGCCGCTGACCACGTCCTCATTCAGGGACTCGCTTCTCTCTGGGAAGTTCTGGGTGGTACAAGTCAATCAATCAATCATAACTATTGATATAATTATTTTTTTTGTGCAACCAGGAATTTCCAACAGAATACATATGTAGACTAACGTAGCCTGAGCCCAGGTCTGTGAGTTGACAAGACCGCACAAACAGATCTGGGAACAGGCTGTACATTCAAAGGCAGTGGATCATTGATGGTTTTGCCTGAATTGTGCTAGATTAGCGCAAAGTCAATATTACAGTTCCAAAAAAAAAACTGTCCAAACCTTAGATAATTGGGTCCGTTCAGAGTGGGGGATACTGCCGCCTGTCAACAAAAAAAGTGATCACCTTTGAAGTGCATGGAAAAGTCTGAAACACTTTGTGTCGTTGTTCCTGCATAATTATTAGTTATCCAAATAATACTACAGTGTTAAAACAAACTGTTTTAACCCATGTTACGATACTTCCTCAATACAGTTTTGAAGCAGGTTGGAGTTTAGAGGACTTTAGAGGACATTCCGAATTACCTGGAAACAGGTATGGCGTCTTAAAGCAAAGACCTCTCTCTCCAGGGGGTAGGAAAACATCATCTAAAATAGTAATCAAGTCAGAGAAAGACCTCAAGTACAGGTCAAAGGTCAGACACAGGCCAAAGGTCAGATAGAGGCCAAGTACAGGTTAAAGTTGATAATTGAAAATAATCAAATACCTATTATTTTTCTACCTCCCCTTGACATGTCTATGTAGCTTGTTTAGCGCTGTAGCATATATAGCATTAACACGTGTACACGCATATTGTAATGAACACAAACCTGGAATCACGTCCTTTTGACGAGGAATAGAGTTTCTATAAAGTAAAATGGGGAGAAGAAAATGACCATTATCATATAGGCTAATTAACACCGACTGTCTAAGTCACTGACTATGACAATGTAAACTAGACTGTGTTTATTAACGCAGTGATATACGACAGGAGTCTCAAAGGCTTACCCAGATGCACGCGTGGAGCCAGACTGTGATCCTTCATCAAAGATCTGGAAGGCCATTGCATTCTGTTGGCTGGTAGGTATGACGGACCCAGACTCACACTCTGTTATTTGGATGGACTCAGTCCCAGTGACCTCCTAGACGCAAAAAGTTATGAAAATTGTCTATTTGACATGAGAACACTTTTAGACACAGCAGGGTTGTGTTCAGTAAGGAGAAAATGTTTTGAAACTAACTTGTCCAATAAGAAACACTCATTTTCCCCATTGCAAAACGTTTTGCTACCAGTGGTTACCCCTAGGATATTTTTCAGCAGCAGTAGCAGAGGAGTTGGGGGTGGGGCTTCCTGGGGCATACGTCTACATACACTGCATTCGGAAAGTATTCAGACCCCTTGACTTTTTCCACATTTTGTTACGTTACAGCCTTATTCTAAAATTGATTGAATTATTTTTCATCCTCAAATCTACACACAATACCCCATTATGACAAAGCGAAAACAGGTGTAGAAATGTTTGCTAATGTATAATTTAAAAAAAAAAAAAAAACAGAAATAGCTTCTTTACATAAGTATTCAGACCCTTTGCTATGAGACTCGAAATTGAGCTCAGGTGCATCCTGTTTCCATTGATCATCCTTGAGATGTTTCTACAACTTGATTGGAGTCCACCTGTGGTAAATTCTATTGATTGGACATGATTTGGAAAGGCACACACCTGTCTATATAAGGTCCCACAGTTGACAGTGCATGTCAGAGAAAAGAAACCAAGCCATGAGGTGGAAGGAATTGTGCGTAGAGCTCCGAGACAGGATTGTGTCAAGGCACAGATCTGGGGAAGGGTACCAAAATATTTCTGCAGCATTGAAGGTCACCAAGAACACAGTGGCCTCCATCATTCTTAAATGGATGAAGTTTGGAACCACCAATACTCTTCCTAGAGCTGGCCTCCCGGACAAACTGAGCAATTGGGGGAGAAGGGCCTTAGTCAGGGAGGTGACCAAGAACCCAATGGTCATTCTGACAGAGCTCTAGAGTTCCTCTGTGGAGATGGGAGAACCTTCCAGAAGGACAACCATCTCTGCAGCACTCCACCAATCAGGCCTTTACGGTAGCGTGGCCAAACAGAAGCCACTCCTCAGTAAAAGGAACATGACAGCCCGCTTGGAGTTTGCCAAAAAGCACATAAATCACTCTCAGACTATGAGAAAGAAGATTCTCTGGTCTGATGAAACCAAGATTGAACTTTTTGGCTTCAATGCCAAGCGTCACGTCAGGAGGAAACCTGGCACCATCCCTACGGTGAAGCATGGTGGTGGCGGCATCATGCTCTAGGGATGTTTTTCAGCGGCAGGGACTGGGGGACTAGTCAGGATCGGGGGAAAGATGAACAGAGCAAAGTACAGAGAGATCATTGATGAAGTCCTGAGCACTCTAGAGCTGGTTCTCAGACTGGGGGCGAAGGTTCACCTTCCAACAGGACAACGACCCTAAGCACACAGCCAAGACAACGCAGGAGTGGCTTCGGGACAAGTCTCTGAATGTCCTTAAGTGGCCAAGCCAGAGCCCGGACTTGAACCTCTCTAGAGAGACCTGAAAATAGCTGTGCAGCGACGCTCCCCATCCAACCTGACAGAGCTTGAGAGGATCTGCAGAAAAGAATGGGAGAAACTCCCCAAATACAGGTGTGCCAAGCTTGTAGCATCATACCCAAGAAGACTTGAGGCTGTAATCGCTGCCAAAGGTGCTTCAAAAAAAGAACTGAGTAAAGGGTCTGAATACTTATGTAAATGTTATATTTCCATTTTTTTCCATTTGCAAACATTTCTAAAAACCATTGATGAATAAAAAGAAATATAAAAAATAAAAATTGTAGAATAAGGCTGTAACGTAACAAAATGTGGAAAAAGTTAAGGGGTCTGAATACTTTCCGAATGCACTGTATATAAAATAAAATAAAATAAATCCTAATGCATACAGAGGAAATACTGGCTACGGCGTGCCCTACTGAATCCGACCCAGATAGTCTAGCTGCAGATAGTTAATATGGTTATGACAAACAAGTTGCTTTCACAGTCAAAGTCAATGACCTTTGCAGTTTGTCAAAACACTTTCTAGCTGGGTTTCCTAAACGGACCTCCAACTGAAAAGAAAAAAGGGACGACAACCACAATCGTGACACACATTGGACATCTGCAAAGCAAGTTCAGGCATCTCAAACCAGGGTAGCGTTCAGTAGGCACGAAACGCGCTGAAAGGGGGAGATTATCTCAATTTGTCCAATAAGAAACACTTTGTTTTTCTGTTACAAAACGTTTCGCTACGGTGTGCCCTAATGAACACAACCCTAGATTTAGAGTCTTTGCCACTTGCCTGCTGTGGTCGTTGCTGTCGTTGCTGGGATTGCTGCAACTGAAGCAGTCGTTGCTTCTCATCTATCTGCTGCCTCAGCCTCTCTTTGGCTTGGCTTTGCTGTTGAATCGTCTCTATCCAAAGGAAAGGGAGGGAATAAACAATTTATAAAGGGGCATGGGTGGTTTACCTTGAGGGAATATGTCAGTGGAAAAAGGTCCCTTAAACGGCACAGAGAAGCCAAAAAGGAGGCCTGTGTGACTGGGTGAGAAACGGCAGTCGAAAGCACAGAAGCCCATTTTATTCCCTGACGATTTAGATGAACAGGGGATACACACACAACCTTGCCCAAGTATTTTGTCCAAAACAATATCTGTTGTATGTCTGTACTTTAAAGGGGGTTTGTTGGCCCTAAATACTGTTGGGGGTAATAGACTACAGCCAAGGTGCATGTGAAACCAGGAAATATGTCAAATGTCTTGGAACATCCCACGTATAACGTGAGTTTTATGCTAACAGTTACTGTCCAATGATAACCTTCGATTTCTTGCCGCTTGCGTGTGAAGTAGTGTTCGGCGCGCAGCTCTTCAATGCTCAGCTCCACAGCACCATTCAGCAGCAGCTCTTTGAGGTACATGCTCTGTTCCTTCACCTCGCCCCCTCCTCCCTCCTGCGACGGCAGACGCTCCAATGCAGACTCGTCTTTGGAGGGGGGCGGGCGGGCAGAGAGGACCATGTTCACTGCAGGGTCAATCTTACACGCAGACCTGCAGCCACGGAGAAAGGGGAGGAGATTATTTTTGCTGCATTTAGTCAGAGATGAAACGTTAGCTAGCCCACTTGGTTAGTTAGCTACTGCAAACAAGAGTTTCCATGGTTTCTAAGAATGTAACCAGATGATTGAGAGTTGATACATCATCAAAACTTCTTGTAATTTACTCCTTTTATTAAAACTCCTTTTTTGACCAGAATATGCGCCATCCTATTAATTCCGAACAGGTAGAAAATTAATGTGAGTGTTCTTATATGCATTTATGAACATTACTTTTTACATTTGAAACAACGAAATTAGCTTGCAGAGTCCATCTTTAACCATGAGGGGAGTTACTCAAAACTGGCCCTAGATCAGCTGCTTGAGACAACTTTAGTCCTCCTCCACTACTCACACAGAAGGGGTCTGGTCACCCTCCTCCACTACTCACACAGAAGGGGTCTGGTCACCCTCCTCCACTACTCACACAGAAGGGGTCTAGTCACCCTCCTCCACTACTCACACAGAAGGGGTCTAGTCACCCTCCTCCACTACTCACACAGAAGGGGTCTAGTCACCCTCCTCCACTACTCACACAGAAGGGGTCTAGTCACCCTCCTCCACTACTCACACAGAAGGGGTCTAGTCACCCTCCTCCACTACTCACACAGAAGGGGTCTAGTCACCCTCCTCCACTACTCACACAGAAGGGGTCTAGTCACCCTCCTCCACTACTCACACAGAAGGGGTCTGGTCACTCTCATCCACGAAAGGCTGGAAGTTGGGCCTGCTGGCAGGGACCATTACACTGGAGCCAGAACACCATGACTTCTGGGGCATCTGCCATGACAAAGAACACCCCCTTAAATGGCTTAATAATAACAGTTTTTACAATGATCAAATACAAAAGGTTCCACAGAAAATGGCTTTAGTTCCATATTAAAATACAAACCCAAGTCTACCAACTCTATTCACTACTGGTAAGCTATCGCGACAAAGTCTCACAGATTAGAAACAGCGCACATTGATACAATGGAAACGACAGGTCAAGTTATCTGTGGAGATGGGCATCTGTGGTCAAACCTTGATGTCGGCCAATTGCTCAGGCATGACTTCATTCTCTTTGGCCCTGCTGGTGGGTGGTGCCATCCAGGGTTCTAGGTTCGGTTCTGCAGCTTGAAGGGAACCCGCCTGGTTCTCGTTAAACACCGGGATCGGATTGTTCTGGATGTTGCGAGCGGACCGTCTGGGCAACTGCAAGTTCAGCCCTCGAGAGTGTCCTACCAAAGACAGCAAAACGTAGTTCTCAACCTCTTCAGCCCTACTTTACTTTCAAGTGGGATATTTTTGCATCAAAGTCCAGCATTTCATCTGAAAATACTGCATTTCATTTTAGAACATTTTCTAAACAACTCTCAAATTGATATGGTCAAAACATGGCTCTGTGTACGATTGCAATTGCCCTTCTTAAGCAGAAGATCAACGACTCTGGATCCACTTTCCTCAAAGACGGCATTGAATTCAGAACAGCGCCGATTGGCTGAGAAAGCCCCATCTACCCGCCCATTGGTAGATCAGCAACTGTGCAGCAAAACCCCTAGTAAAGACCACAAAGGGCTAACCTGCAGCCGAGGCCTCTGTCCTATTGACTGGTGCGACTGCCTTTTTCCTCCCCCGTGGTCTCAGGTCTACCATATTGGTTCTTGCTGGTTCTGGTTCCTGTTCCTCCTCAGCTCCGTCTGCTATGCCAGACATAGCCTGATGGGCCACCCTGGCCTGGAAAACCCTAAAAGAAAAATCACCAAACCACAGATAAACAATGACAAGGGCTGTGCCTGAATTCTCATATTAAATCATTATAAAGTCATTACTATGAACTAATAGTACATACTATTTAGAACACACTGTTCAGTACAAATGTATGCAGCATACTCCCTTCCGTATATGACGTAGACAACAGAGGCAGACCTAGGACAGCTAACAAGGAATGGACAGAGACAAGGAGCACACACTTGTGATATTGCTGAAGTTTATCCATGGGCTGGGCTCTGCACTTAAGTCCCTCTTGGAACTTGGCGTCTGCCTTCTGGAAGTTGCCGTGCTTCTCGAACTCCTCCGCCCAGGTAATGTAAAGGGCAGCCTGAGTGAGTCCGATGCCTTGGGCCTGCATGTAGCTGAACATTTCCAGGGGCTCCATGCTGTTCTGGGCCTACAACACAGCAGTGTCCATTAGGCACCAAAACAGACTCAAATAGGGAGAAACTACATGGACTTGCCCAATAACAAAAGCTCATTTTTGTTCTATGTTGCAAAATGTTTTAGAACTTTTCCGTTGCGTACCCTAATGCACTCAACCCAAGTTGGGTCAATTGTTCCGAGTTCTGTATCGATGCAAACAGGTGGGTGGTGATAGCATGCAAGCCAATGTCAGTGCTTTCCCAGCAGTAATGTACAGTATATTGAACGGCAGGGGTTGGAACCGGTTCAGGGAACAGAACCGAAAAAGAACGGAACGGAAACAGAACCGGGAACGAAGGTTCTCTAGTGTTCCGCAACAAACGTTTTTTTCAAATCTTGAGAACTGGTTAAATGTTATTTTTTGTTCCAAAAATATTCCTGATGTCTAGTATATAATTCTGTAATTCAGTGAAGTTATGATGCTAGTAATAGCCTAAACACATTCCAATTCACATCACGACGTTCTGCATTTCAAGCCAAGCTCCCTCCATCTCCACCCTCTCTCTCCTCACCCCTGAACTTTCAGTTGTATCTCGCGCTTGCACTTACAGGATCTGTCCATCAAACAACCTTCCCGTTCCATAGCCAGCTGCTCTATCCACGCTAATTGGTGGAGTAAATTAATGAGCCAAATGTAAAAACGGTTGATTTCACTGGGTAAATCTTTTAAGTAAATATATGAACTGCTAATTTTTGGGGTTCTAACCAGTTCAGAACTTTATTCTGCTGGTCGGAACAGAACAAAATAAATAGGGATTCTGTTCGGAATGATTGGAAAGTAATTTACGTTCCAACCCGTTCACATTTTCATACAAATTTATACGAGCTTCTAAACATGGCTGTAAACATACATTTTTACACTTAGTATTAGCTTGGGGAATACAGCGAATATCGCTCCATTTCACTATTGTCAATGAAGGGAAACAGTGAAATTGAGCAATATTTCGTTTGGATTACAATATCCCAGGCTATACTTAGTAAGGCATGTGTTTGCAAGTGTGATATTGTATGAGTGGACAATTTTCTGCCTTAGCTCTTGCACAGCTCAAACTAATTTGATGTGAACAAGATCACGCATAAAATGTAGATATCCTCATTGACCACCAGAGTGTGATCCTAGAAGCGAGGCTATTGGTATTCCTTAATCCTTTGGCAATCCATGTCATGTTGCCGCTCACTAGCTCTGGCCCAGGGCGTTAGCGGAGTTTGTCTAATGGAGTTCAACGTCGTTCAATGCAGGGTGGCAGTGCAGGATCACGCACTAACGACCTGGACTAGCCACTCACCAACTTGATCCAGAGGTTGATGTAACGGGGATCATTGTAGTATTTCTTGTCATCAGCAAAGAGCTGCACAGCCCTCTCCAGAATGACCGTGAGGCTGCTCTCTTTACTACCCTGTGGGTAAGTCAGGAGTATCCATTTTAGGTACCTGCACAACACAGAAGCAAAAGTGTTTTATGGTCCCCCGAGTGTGTGTGCGTCTGTGTGGTCAATCAAACTATTGTCCCGAGGGACATTTTGGATTGGAAGCAGGGGTAGGTTTAACAGCATACAAAAATTGTACCTATACAAAAGTTTAAAACAGATCACACAAAAGAAACTGAGTCACAAAAAAAAACACAGAAATCCCATCATGGCAGGTGAAGTTAGGGAGCACGGGGAAGTGTGTTAGTGTGTCTAAATCTGTATGTGTGTGTACCTATGTGTGTGTGTGTGGTGTGTTACAGAGTGAGGTGAATTGCATATGCTGCTGCACATCTCACCTATCCCAGATATCAAGTGGATCGTCTCCAGTGTACACACGGAGTTCCAATTCAAACGCTCTGTGGGGCACAAAGCAGAGGTTTCAATTCTATAGACTGAGCCGATGTGAACTTTTAAAGACATGCCCCATGTAGAAACTCACCAAATCCACACAATACCAAATTCTATAATATATATCATAATATATCTCTACACAAAGTGAGATGGCACCTGAACAGAATAGCCCAGACAGTGACTCCTATCACCAAACCTAAAATGGTTGAATATAGCGAGCTAGTAACATTATGAAGTCAATGTTGATGACATACTGTCTCTGTTGCTGGATAGCTGCATGGCTTGATCCCTCTTGGTGGCTGAGGTGCAGATCAGTCACAGCCCATCCCTCTCTCAATGGCTGGATGTTCTGTTTACACAGCTCCCGTTCTGCCTCAACCTGGGCCATAACCACAACTGTCAGAAAGAAAGGGATGTTAACTAGCTAGCTACTTTAAAATTGCTAATATAATTTGCAAACAAGTAGCCTACAATCTAGATTACAACAACATGACACCAGTGTGCATGATGACACAATACATAAACATTGCATACACACTTACACTCTTCACTAAAGTTATATTGGACTTATTGTACTGAATTTGTCAGTGTTCCTTCTACATTACTAACGCTAGTTAACTAACGTACATTCATTTACGACTAAGTGCAAAACAAAAACATTTCGGCACTTACACTTGGTAATAGTAACGCAAGCGAGCTAACAGTTAGTATGTGGCTGAAGTAACATTTACATTTTAGTCATTTAGCAGACGCTCGTATCCAGAGCAATTAGGGTTAAGTGCCTTGCTCAAGGGCACATCGACAGACGTTAGGCCAACTTAGATTGTATTGTTAAACCACTCATTTGCTGATTTGACTAGACAGCAATCTGGTGTTCATGACATTCTAGCTAGCTATCTTGGTTTGCATTCTTGTTATTTTACTAATGCTGAAACGCCACTCATTAAAATACAACCAGCTTCAAGCTAACGTTAGCTTAACAGCAACACAGCTATTTTATAGCTACTGGTAGCTAGTTAACGTTAGCTAGCTCAATGAAAGAGACCGGTCGAGTTTGTGGTTGTGAGTTTGTAACGTTAGTGGTAGCTACAGACATTGTGTGTAGTGTACAACTCAAAGTTAGCTAGCTAAAGAGAATTTACAGTTTTTGTAATTATACAAAATATATTTACCTTTTCTTTTTTCAAATCTAAAAATGCAAAAGTTGGCTACAGCCGATTACGCCTGTGCTTTCCACACATTTAAAATCAACCGCGAGCAAAAGACGAAAGCGATTGGATTCAATATTTCTTTGATCCGCCTACTCCTCTCTGATTGGATAATGTCACCACACTTCCGTAGCAATGAGCGGACTCGATTATTCTGAGCAGCGGGGCACTGGTCCATGGCCCGTGACGTGACCAGGGAAAAGCGGTATTGGAGGAGCACCATTTTCAAAATCGAACAGTAATCTGCGCCATTTGGTCATGTTGTCAACAAGGCAGCATGGTGCATCGTACAGAAACATACATCAGTTTTCATTGAGAAGGCAGATAACGCATTTTTATCAGAAACCTACCTCGTGCTTAATTACGTCACTTTTGTTTTTAGCCGATTTCGCCGTGGGCTTTGAACGGGGCACCTGGCCAAACGGTTCCAAAACCAATGCAATCAACTTTCGCCCTATGCAAAACACGATTACCCGGGCGCCTGAGCCAGATTAATCGAGTCCCCTCCAACTTTCTCGGTTTACACTATCCTTCTACTTTTTCTTGGCAGGCGTAACATGCAGGTCAAAATGGAATTAGGGCCCTCTACTGGATTGGAATGCGAACACATTAAGAGAAAGCAGAAAGATATTCTAAACCTCAGAAGCTAGCACACAGTTCACTAATAATGCCGTGCAGCCTACCTATACTGAACAAAAATATAAACGCAACATGCAACAATTTCAATTATTTTGCTGAGTTACAGTTCATATAAGTAAATCAGTCAATTTAAATAAATTAGGACCTAAACTATGGATTTCACATGACTGGGCAGGGGTTCTGGCTCCCAAGTGGGTGGGATAATTAGTTTTTCCTCACAAAAGGGCTTTATTACTTAGAGAAATACTCCTCCAATTACATTTACAGTCATTTAGCAGACGCTTTTATCCAGAGCGTGAGTGCATACATTTTTATTTTTATTTTCTTTCATACTGGAATCGAACCCACAACCCTGGTGTTGTAAATGCCATGCTCTACCAACTGAGCTACATCCCTGCCAGCCATTCCCTCCCCTACCCTGGGCCAATTGTGCGCCGCCCCATGGGTCTCCCGGTCGCGGCCGGCTACGACAGAGCCTGGATTCGAACCAGGATCTCTAGTGGCACAGCTAGCACTACGATGCAGTGCCTTAGACCACTGCACAGCTGTCCGGGTGGCTGGTCTCAGACGATCCTGCAGGTGAAGAAGCCGGATGTGGTGGTCCTGGGCTGGCATGGTTACACGTGGTCTGCGATTGTGAGGCCGGTTGGACGTACTGCCAAATTCTCTAAAACTACGTTGGAGGTGGCTTATGGTAGAGAAAGTAACATTTAATTCTCTGGCAACAGCTCTGGTGGACATTCCTGCAGTCAGCATGCCAATTGCACGCTCCCTCAAAACTTAAGACATTTGTGGCATTGTGTTGTGTGACAAAACTGCACATTTTAAAGTGGCCTTTTATTGCCCCCAGCACAAGGTGAACCTGTGTAATGATCATGCTGTTTAATCAGCTTCTTGATATGCCACACCTGTCAGGTGGATGGATTATCTTGGCAAAGAAGAAATGCTCACTAACAGGGGCGTAAACACATTTGTGCACAACATTTGAGAGAAATAAGCTTTTTGTGCGTATAGGAAAGTTTCTGGGATCTTTTATTTCAGCTCATGAAACATGGGACCAATACTTTACATGTTGCGTTTATATTTTTGTTCAGTATATTTTAAAATAAATTGTGGGGATACACTTTATTTTTCTTTAATTTGACTGTTTCCACCCAACAACATTCAAAAAGGGTATTTGCCACCCCTGTATCCAACTGCATCCATCTTTTTTTTATTAGTCATTTAGCAGACGTTCTTATCAAGAGCGACTTACAGGAGCAATTAGGGTTAAGTGCCTTGCTCAAGGGCACATCGACAGATTTTTCACCTAGTCGGCTCGGGGATTAGAACCAGCGACCTTTCGGTTACTGGCACAATGCTCTTAACCACTAAGCTACCTGCCGCCCCAATAGTGAGTGTAACTCACTATTACTCCTCCATGGTTAGATAAGAGCAGGTGAAATGTATCTGGCAAAGATAGACACTCATGTACAGTAATTACAGTAAGGAGAAAGATAGACACTCATGTACAGTAATTACAGTAAGGAGAAAGATAGACACTCATGTACAGTAATTACAGTAAGGAGAAAGATAGACACTCATGTACAGTAATTACAGTAAGGAGAAAGATAGACACTCATGTACAGTAATTACAGTAAGGAGAAAGATAGACACTCATGTACAGTAATTACAGTAAGGAGAAAGATAGACACTCATGTACAGTAATTACAGTAAGGAGAAAGATGCAGTATGGTAAGGAGAAAAATACACTAAGAAGAAAGATATTATACTCTTATCCCGTCAGGGAAACGGTCTATATAGGCTATATCATTTTGTGACCGTTTTTTTCAAAGGTATGCTCTTTAATGTAATATGATACAATATATAAAACGGTATATACTGTATGTTATATTATAAAACTTAACAAACAAAAAAACAAGCTAATTTGTATCAGTTGGTGGTTGTTGAGGTGGTCGTTGGCTAACTTGTCTCTACCCGTAATCCCTTGACCTTTGTTGTCTGTCAACTGCTGTACGGTGTCAAATTCTGAGCCGGACGGTTAAACCATATTCCATTCCATTATATTTTTGATCAGTATAAATAGATAAAAGGCCAGTAGCTTTGCCTAGAGTAGAATATAGACTAGAGAGACGGGATGTCAGAAAATGCAATATAATAGAAACTCATTCAATGGTAAGAACATTTGGGAGTAGTTTGAACCTGCCTGAAATTGAATAAATTACAATTAATTAAATATTTGTATTGTCACATACACCGGATAGGAGCAGTGAAATGTGTTGTTTTACAGGGTCAGCTATAGTAGTACAGCACCCCTGGAGCAAATGAGGGTTAAGTGCCTTCCTCAAGGACACAGACATATTTTTCACCTTGTCGGCTCGGGTATTCAAACCAGCAACCTTTTGGTTACTGGCCCAACGCTCTGCTACCTTCCGCCCTATAAGTAGTTAATGTAAAGAAATGAAGAATGTCACAACTCTGATATGCTTCCACTGATTGATTGAAATGCACAAACATCTAAAGTTTCGATCCCCCATTGGGATCTTTAGCAGGTCCACAGCTCTTCTATATTTTGTGATGCCTAACTACCCTTTTATGGATTGAAGTGAATTTGTTTGAGGTGATATTTTACAGAATATCATAGGTAACATCACAGTACAACACTTATTTTCTGTAAAAGATTTCATTTGAAATTCCGATGTAACAGTTGGGGAAAGTTAATGACAGCACTGCTCCTTTTAAAACACCACCTTAAGCTAAACAAAAATATTAGTAACCATATTTACAGTACATTCTTCGGCTAGTCATAGCAGGGGATTTATCAGAGAAAACATTTAATCAAATAATAAAAAAATTAAAAAGAATGTCAACATAAAAATAAGCTGTGATCGGATTATTAAAAATGCCAGAAGTATCCATTAACACTGAATAACTAAACCAATCAGGCCCTGGTGAATTGGTGAACCCTTCTGTAACATAACAGTGAAAAACATCGACATAAACGATAGACTGGATAATCCATCAACACTAGACTGGATAATCTCTCATTCTACTTCAGAGGCAACTGATACCAAAAGGTGTTCGAATCCAGTAGGACATCTCTATGCTATATTATCTCATTTTTAAACTCTGTTTTACACAGATGCCCCATTGGAAGACCCACCAGGCTTATGTGTGTAAGACATATATGTTACCAAATAGTCCTATAATATAATGCTGTCACATAGAGGCAGGGACGGACTGGCCATAGGGCAATTCTGGAAAATGCCAGATGGGCTGGTCCGTCTTTAGCCCAGTGGGCATGTCTAAATTGTTGGTCATTTTATGTGTGCAAAATAATCGTTATTTGGCTAATAATGGGGGTTCTAGGAAAAAATTGGGCCGTGTGAGGACCTCAAAGGGAAAAAATGGGCAGTGTAATAGAAATGCCTGGGCCAATTTCTGGGCCCAGTCAACCCTGCATTAAAGTATGTGATAAGTAGTCCTGTCTGTACCGGTCGTCCATTGGTGGATGGATCCACCATCCATCTGCCATCGTGCCATATATGATTAAATATTGCCATGGGGGCCCCTGATGTAGTAACACCATTGACTGTTAAGGGTGTAACCTGCCCAACAAGGACCCTCTTTGTCTAGGGCTGCCAACCACTAATATAGACACTGATACTGCAGATTGTGGATACATAAGGATATATCTAGATACATGAGGACTGTCACTGTTCACACATCCACAGCTACAGGTGAGAGAGGATGGTGTCTCATTTCAGATGGTCTCCACTCCAACTTTGTTCATTTTTTCAGTGACATCTTGCGAAGTCCCTTCATCCGATACAGCAAGCCGTCAATGAAGTCCTGTCAGGGAACAGTAGAGAAATTAGTGAGTGAGAGGTGGTTATACTGTGTACAGGTTAAACAGTCAATACATGCATGCACAACACAGTAACCCTCAAGTTTTAGGTGTGTTTATGGAAACTTAGTGGAAGTATATCTCACATGTTGTGGTTGTAAGAGCCATTTTGATAGGGTGTATGTTTGTCTAGTTGTGGTTGTTTTGGGCTGTCACTTCTCACCACTAGAGAGCAGTCTCACTCGGGTTAGGGGTCGTGTGGTGGGGTCAGGTGGTGGGGTCAGGTGTATGAGGGCCCAGGTAAACAGGTAGTAGTCATGCATGGGTCAACAGAAGATTCACTGTTTTTTACCGGTATTCACAAGATAATAATCAATCTCACTGTCAACTGCATTTATTTTCAGCAAACTTAACATGTGTAAATATTTGTATGAACATAATAAGATTCAACAACTGAGAAATAATCTGAACAAGTTCCACAGACATGTGACTAACATAAATTGAATAATGTGTCCCTGAACAAAGGGGGGGTCAAAATCAAAATTAACAGTCAGTATCTGGTGTGGCCACCAGCTGCATTAAGTACTGCAGTGCATCTCCTCCTCAAGGACTGCACCAGATTTGCCAGTTCTTGCTGTGAGATGTTACCCCACTCTTCCACCAATGCACCTGCAAATTTCCTGACATTTCTGGGGGGAATGGCCCTAGCCCTCACCCTCCGATCCAACAGGTCCCAGATGTGCTCAATGGGATTGAGATCCGGGCTCTTCGCTGGCCATGGCAGAACACTGACATTCCTGTCTTGCAGGAAATCACGCACAGAACGAGCTGTATGGCTGGTGGCATTGTCATGGTCATGTCAGGATGAGCCTGCAGGAAGGATACCACATGAGGGAGGAGGATGTCTTCCCTGTAACGCACAGCATTGAGATTGCCTGCAATGACAACAAGCTCAGTCCGATGATGCTGTGACACACCGCCCCAGACCATGACTGACCCTCCACCTCCAAATCGATCCCGCTCCAGAGTACAGGCCTCAGTGTAATGCTAATTCCTTCGACGATAAACGTGAATCCGACCATCACCCCTGGTGAGGCAAAACCGCGACTCGTCAGTGAAGAGCACTTTTTGCAAGTCCTGTCTGGTCCAGCGATGGTGGGTTTGTGGCCATAGGTGACGTTGTTGCCGGTGATGTCTGGTGAGGACCTGCCTTACAACAGGCCTACAAGCCCTCAGTCCAGCCTCTCTCAGCCTATTGTGGACAGTCTGAGCACTGATGGAGGGATTGTGGTTCCTGGTGTAACTGTAGCTCAGTTGGTAGAGCATGGCGCTTGCAACGCCAGGGTTGCGGGTTTGTTTCCCACGGGGGGCCAGTATGAAAATGTATGCACTCACTAACTGTAAGTCGCTCTGGGTAAGAGCGTCTGCTAAATGACTACAATGTAAATGTTGCTGCCATCCTGTACCTGTCCCGCAGGTGTGATGTTTGGATGTACCGATCCTGTACAGGTGTTGTTACACGTGGTCTGCCACTGCGAGGACGATCAGCTGTCAGTCCTGTCTCCCTGTAGCGCTGTCTTAGGCATCTCACAGTACGGACATTGCAATTTATTGCCCTGGCCACATCTGCAGTCCTCATGCCTCCTTGCAGCATGCCTAAGGCACGTTCACGCAGATGAGCAGGGACCCTGGGCATCTTTCTTTTGGTGTTTTTCAGAGTCAGTAGAAAGACATAGTGTCCTAAGTTTTCATAACTGTGACCTTATTTGCCTACCGTCTGTAAGCTGTTAGTGTCTTAACGACCGTTCCACAGGTGCATGTTCCTTAATTGTTTATGGTTCATTGAACAAGCATGAGAACAGTGTTTAAACCCTTTACAATGAAGATCTGTGAAGTTATTTTGATTTTTACAAATTACCTTTGAAAGACAGGGTCCTGAAAAAGGGATGTTTCTTTTTTTGCTGAGTTTATGTCCTGTTACACACTTGTACAAGTGTCAGTGTGTAATGGAAATGTGTTTCTTGCATATCGTAACTCCCCCTGAGACACCCGCAGGGAGTGGGGTCACAGCCAGTATCACCGTTGTCCAGCACCGCTGGAGCAGTTGGGGATAAGTGCCTTGCTCAAGGGCACAGCGACAGATTTTTCACCTTGTCGGCTCCGGAATTCAAACCACCAACCTTTGGGTTACTGGTCCAACTCTCTAACCTCGAGGCTATCTGCCTCCCTTTAAAAAGATTGCCTGTATCATTGGACTGTCAATGCAATTTGTTTAGTGCTTCCTTACCTCTTTGGGCTTGCCACACTCTTGAAGAAGGTCCTGTAGAAATAGAGTTGGGAAACCATGAACTCTGTCACTCTGACTCTTTATTCAAACAACATAAGGTGTTTTTGACAGATTTAGAACAGGGTTCAAATAGTTTTAGTTCTTGTTCAAATAGTTTGAGCGTTTGGTTGAACCTGTCAGTGACAGATGGGCTTAGTTTTGCACTTTGGGGACTGTTCCATTGCCAGACAAATTCAATCAAGCACAGCTACAGTATTTGCAGGAAGATGAATAGTATTTGAACCCAGGTCTGAACAGACCAAGGATTTTGCACTCACATGTAGCTTTGATCTCTGTTCTGCGTCTGATATATCCAGCAACTCATCGATGTCAATTTCTAACTCCGGAATATCCTCCTCCTGAAAAAGGGTAAAACACAAACAAAAGAAAACTAGAATAAAACAAGAACCCAAATGTCAGCAAGATAACTCTCCATTTACACTAATAATACATTTAACCAATGACAAAAGGCTACTCTGAGTCTGAATGTCCTCTCTGGCAACAGTAGACTACTGTATTTCTTCTGAGGAAGGGCATCCTTTGCATTCTCACTCAACAATTTTCATTAACCTGATTGTTGATGGATGAATACACACACAATGATCACTGTGAAATGAACAAAGTAAATTCTGATTTAAAAAATAATATTAAAACTTTTGGCAGTAGATTTCCATGTTGATAGGAAGTGAAAGCATTTTTGTGACCAACACAGTCACGCACAGATATTAGTTCAGACACTTAGTCTTTTGTGTTGACGGCCAACAAGCCCAACATTCCATGGCGTACACTGGGCTTTGGTGGACCACAGTTGTCCCACTAATCATGCAGCCACAGCTATCAAAGAGCCAATGACATACTTTAAAAGTAAACAACCACAAAAAAAAGAGAATATATATTGTGCACCTATAACTCTACAATTCCTATTCCCACTGTTCTTCCATTTTAACATAAACTATCGCAAACTTCTCCTGACAAAATGGGGATGGTAGATCTCCAGGAAGACGTTTAGGCATAAAGAGGGCTAATAGATCATAAGATCTGAAGATTAAAGATGGCTAATAGATCATAAGATCTGAAGATTAAAGAGGGCTAATAGATCATAAGATCTGAAGATTTACCCAGAGAACACTTTCCCTTGCAAATTAACTTCCATAGAAATGACCCTTAGGTTTCAATGATTATTTCATGAGTATGTTGGCCTATACTATTAAATATGTTCCTTATTGTACCTACAATTCCTCTAATGAGCCAAAATGGCTGCCAATCCCGACAGTAGAAGATGGGAAGTGACTGTTGACATTATGAATGAGTGCACCTAATGCAAGTGCACCTAAAACGCAAGTGCACCTAATGTTCCCTGTACACTTACGGAAAGACAAACAGGTTCTTATTCGACGCTGCAGAATTTTTCATCTTATTAATGCGTGAAGATAATTTGTGCTGAGATGTTGCTTTTCAACAGCAGTAATGAGGATAATGGAGAATATGGGTTGGGCCCTGAAATGGTTTTCGAGAACCACAACCAAGAGTACAGCGTATAAATTTTTCAAACCTCAAAATGACTTTGCAACTTATTTTGCATAATAACTGACAAAACAGGCTAATTATGAACCTCTTAATCTACAGTTGTCATCTCCTGCATTAAGGTTTTTTTTTTGTACCATTCTGGAACAGGAAGTTGTGGGAAAGAAGGATGTTAAGCCTTCCCTTGTTTGTTTTCTGTTAGGTTGAGATAAAACAGGGATGCCTCCAAAAGACGTTCTAGCTTATTGTAGTGAGATTTTTATCAACTTTAACTTCCTTTATTTTTTCTCTTAGTTAGGTCCACTTACTGAGAAGGCATCAAGGAGCAAATGCATATTCTGCCCAATCAAAACAGATATAGTTATAGACCAATGAGGGTAGTACGCTACAGAGGGTAGGGGCCATCATGGGGCCAAGCTTCCTGCCTTCCAGGACCTCTATACCAGGCGGTGTCAGAGGAAGGGCCTAAAAATTGTCAAAGACTCCAGCCACCCTAGTCATAGACTGTTCTCTCTGCTACCGCACGGCAAGCGGTACCGGAGCGCCAAGTCTAGGTCCAAAAGGCTTCTTAACAGCTTCTACCCCCTAACCATAAGACTGCTGAACAGTCAAATGGCTACCCGGACTATTTGCATTGACCCCTTTTTTTACGCTGCTGCTACTCGCTGTTTATTATCTATGCATAGTCACTTTACCCCTACCTACAGTGCATTCGAAAAGTATTCAGACCCCTTGACTTTTTCCACATTGTTACGTTACAGCCTTATTCTAAAATTGAAATCTACACACAGTACCCCATAATGACAAAGCAAAAACAGGTTTTTAGACATTTTTGCACATTCATAAAAATAAATCAAAAAACTGAAACATGACATTTACATAAGTATTCAGACCCTTTACTCAGTACTTTGTTGAAGCACCTTTGGCAGCGATTACAGCCTCGAGTCTTCTTGGGTATGACGCTACAAGTTTGGCACACCTTTATTTGGGCAGTTTCTCCATTCTTCTCTTCAGATCCTCTCATGCTCTGTCAGGTTGGATGGGGAGCGTTGCTGCACAGCTATTTTCAGGTCTCTCCAGAGATATTCGACCGGGTTCAAGTCCGGGCTCTGGCTGGGCCACTCAAGGACATTCGGAGACTTGTCCCGAAGCCACTCCTGCGTTGACTTGGCTGTGTGCTTAGGGTCGTTGTCCTGTTGGAAGGTGAACCTTCACCCCAGTCTGAGGTCCTGAGCTCTCTGGAGCAGGTTTTCATCAAGGATCTCTCTGTACTTTGCTCCGTTCATCTTTCCCTCAATCCTGACTAGTCTCCCAGTACCTGCTGCTGAAAAACATCCCCACAGCATGATTCTGCCACCACCTTGCTTCATCGTAGGGATGATGCCAGGCTTCCTCCAGACGTGACGCTTGGCATTCAGGCCAAAGAGTTCAGTCTTGGTTTCATCAGACCAGAGAATCTTGTTTCTCATGGTCTGTGAGTCCTTTAGGTGCCTCTTGGCAAACTCCAAGTGGGCTGTCATGTGCTCTGAGGAGTGGCTTCCGTCTGGCCACTCTACCATTAAGGCCTGAGTGGTGGAGTGCTGCAGAGATGGTTGTCCTTCTGGAAGGTTCTCCCATCTCCACAGAGGAACTCTGGAGCTCTGTCAAAGTGACCATCGGGTTCTTTGTCACCTCCCTGACCAAGGCCCTTCTCACCCGATTGCTCAGTTTGGCCGGGAGGCCAGCTCTAGGAAGAGTCTTGGTGGTTCTAAACATATTCCATTTAAGAATGATGGAGGCCACTGTGTTCTTGGTGACCTTCAATGCTGCAGACATTTTTTGGCACCCTTCCCCAGATCTGGGCCTCGACATAATCCTGTCTCGGAGCTTGGTTTTTGCTCTGACATGCACTGTCAACTGTGGGACCTTATATAGACAGGCGTGTGCCTTTCCAAATCATGTCCAATCAATTGAATTTACCACAGGTGGACTCCAATCAAGTTGTAGAAACATCTCAAGGATGATCAATGGAAACAGGATGCACCTGAGCTCAATTTCGAGTCTCATAGCAGAGGGTCTGAATACTGAATGTAAATAAGGTATCTGTTTTTCATTTTTAATAAATTTGCAAAAATGTATAAAACCTGTTTTTGCTTTGTCATTATGGGGTATTGTGTGTAGATTGATGAGGATTTTTATTTAATCCATATTAGAATAAGGCTGTAATGTAACAAAATGTGGAAAAAGGGAAGGGGTCTGAATACTTTCCGAATTCACTGTACATTTTACCTCAATTACCTGGACTAACCTGCACCCCTGCACATTGCCTCGGTATCGGTACCCCCTGTATATAGCCTCGTTAGTGTTATTTTATTGTGTAACTGTTTTTTTTTTAAACATTAGTTTATTCTATTTTTCTTTTTTTGTGCAAATATTTTCTTACTTAAAAAAAAACCTCTGCATTGTTGGTTATGGGCTTGTAAGTAAGCGTTTCACAGTAAGGTCTACACCGCATGTGACAAATAAGATTTGATTTGATGTACTTTTTGTCCCCTTGGAACTGTAACTAAATGTAGTCCCTCTGATCCAGTCTGGCTGTGGCTCATATAAATCTACTAGACAGCCCATTAGCATCACAACTCTGGAAAGCCAGAGCAAGCTTGTCAGCACAGTCAGACTCTTAGAAGTAATGATCGTAAAGCGAGGACAAGGAAGATCATTAGGCTATAATGCTAGATAAGGCTAGCCCTGCGAGCTAATGGGCCATCATCCCTTAAATGCAATACATTAGCTAATGTTTTATATTTGTATAACCTTGGAGCTTTAAAGTTATGTTCACCCCTCCTGTGGTAAACTTCAGATGTAGGATCATAATTTGAGCCAGTTTGTTACAGCAGGAAAATAATCTTGCAGCAACAGGAAATGTGAATTATTATGTGGATTATAATTTATGGACATTTTTGTAGCGGTTGATACATTTTTAATTAGGGCAAATCAAGTCAAATTTCAAAGTGAAAATTACAATCGTTAGAAGCCATTTTAAAACTCAAATACACTACAAGTTTGCATGTCCTGCTTTGCACGAAAATTCTCAGCAACAAAAGGTTGATCAAATTAAGATCCTACATCTGTAGCTGTCCATTAAACTCTATTCAAATCCACACAGACATCGCTTTATAGTTAAAGTACAGGGGTTCCAATCAAGGTAATTTGGCAGCTGATGCTTAAGGTTACGCTGTGGGGTATTTCGACACAGACGTCTATGAGGGTAGTTATTTAACGTCAACGCCCCTAGGGTCATGTGTTGAATTATTTAAGGTTTTCCTTAATTCACGTGTGGTTCCAAGGGTAGACCTTATCGGTAGCTTGACATCTTTTTTGCAATTTTTCTCTTTAAAACACACATTGTATTACAAAACCCTGTGGAATTTAACTGCAGCTAGAACTAGTTTCATAGATTGTGTTTGTGTGGCATGTATGTACCATCCCTGCCTGCATTCAACACCATACTCTCATTATCAGTACTCTATCATCTGAAACCAACCATTACTAAACCATTAAAGCTCAGGTTCTATAATTTAGGGGTAAAGTTAGTGTAGGTATTGGGAAACCAATGTCATTCACCGCGTGAAGCTAAGAGGAGGTTTAAGCACAAATAGCTGAGAAATTAATCTGATCCCCAGAATATTAATCAAGTCAAGAATCTTTGAGCAAGAAACGTTCAGTGCCTTTATCTACACTGTGGGCAAACATGTTAAATCTTGGTATGCTAACTGATGGAGGTAATCGCTTACCTGCCGTAGCATGCGGAGAGAATTTTCTCTGCAGGGGGAAGTCAATAAGTCAGCCATTTTGTTTCTTGGAATGAATCCCACACACAAAAAAGAATGTGACCTCTAACCTGTGTGTTATTGGAAGCTTAAACCACCTTTGTGGCATAACATAGGGTAATGGCTTTGTTTCTGCTTCTAAAATGGTTTCCTCTTAGTTTTGTGAGTATTAATAAAGTCCAGATTACTTTAGTTTTTTCCCCAATAGCAAACCACTTCAGACTTTCCTTGTATCGCTTGGCAAGCTCCTTTACTCCATTCCTACTTTCTTTCCCCTGGCATAAATCAAATAGAACACACATACAGACTGCTACTTGGGAAAATGCTACAGTATTTACTATATGAGTAAAAAGTAGATTATTATTGTCTTGATCTTTCCACCCTTTTCTCAATCATGTACGAACTATTTCTAACCTCAGTGTCTTGGAAAATCATTATGCTATCTGATAATTGATCATGAATGCAATGAGGGTCCAATCCCTCTGATCTGGCAAGGTCATCCTGGAGAATGTGAAGATTAAATGGCTTTGTCTTGATTAGAACCCACAACAGTCTGTTGTACACTACTTTGGTATTTCCATTCATATAGGAACAAAGAAACAACTATTCAGAGACAACAATGAGTGCCTACCAGGGACGAAATATCTAGAAAACTTTCTAGAAAATTAACAATATTCTTTTGAGGGAATATGATAATAAGCTGTTGGTGGTTTCTCAGGCCAGTTCACTGTACTTCTCTACCCATACAAATGTGAGGCATTACACTAAGCAGCTTGAGTTTTAATAATCAACTTTTATCTTTCAATCAGAGCTACTGGACATGGTGTTAGTACTAAAGATGCATATCCATTGTATTTCATTCATCTTTTAAAAATATGTTTGTACTATACAGTGCATTGCTTCAGGCTAACTGTTATTATGGACTTTCTTACAATGGGGACAAAGGGGACATTGGATGGGGGCCAGCATACCGACTCTATTGTCACCCACGCTGCCTGTGACATGAGGCCGTGGTTGAACCCTGACTGGGCCCTTTTCTCCCTCAAACACTGGGGTCTTTTGCCACCAGTTATTTACTTCCATATGGGCTTCACTGGCTACGGGCCAACTGTGTCCCAAGGTCATGTGAGAAAATACATCTTTCCTGACAATGTCCTCCAGGAGGGCAAAGTAGAAATATTAGAATTTTAGAGAACCTTACCTACAGTACTTCACTTACATGTGATTTTAGACTTTTTTTAAATCGCATCTATCTATCTATCTATCTATCTATCTATCTATCTATCTATCTATCTATCTATCTATCTATCTATCGTCTGTCTATCTTCTATCTATCGTTTACCTCCCAAAACAAAAGTTATACGGTACACTGACAAGGAGCCAAAACTGGAGCCCAAATGGTCGTTTCCATTGCGTTTCCTAGGGGCCCGGTAATCAAATTGCCACAGCTGAGGATATAATTGGACCGAGCTCCCTCTGGTTCCGGGACTAATCATTTGAGTCAATAAAGCCCTTAGCCAGCCTCACCCAGGTTCCCAATTCAGTTTGTCTGGTCTGGAAACCAACAGAGAAATATACCAAGATAGCTAGATCCTGTCACAGCATGAAATAATCGAAGTACTGAACTGTGAAAGTGCAGGCTTTTACTCCAGTCCAAGCAGTAAGACAGCTGATATCTCAACTAGTCTTGATTGAAGACTGTGATTGCCTGAACCCACACAGGGCTCCTTGTGGATAAAATTGGACATTACTGTACTAAACACAGGTGGCCACAGAGAATGAATGAATGAATGACCCATAAAGCCATAATGCGCATTTAGCCAATGTTAGAGACAAAACAGGACCAACTAATGGGGCAATACACATTCTGAATTGCTTTAAATGTCATAACCATGTCTGAGTAATCAAAATAGGATCTAATTTAACTTTAGTTACTTCAGATTTGACCCACTAGTCATCTGCACTACAGTAACTGTACAGTAACTGAGCAGCTCAAGTTGCCCCCCTAACCACAGATCTAAAATCAGATTACACAACACAATTCCTAACCTTGACTATTAGGAAGATAACCCTGGACCAGCGTATCTGACCCCGGACCAGCGGATAGGACAACTGTGAATGCCAGGTAAACACACATAACCAAATGCTCTCTCCAGTAAAGTCTCTTTAGTCATCTCCCTCTCTTTCTATACATCATCCTCTATCTCTTCCTCTCTATCCTTTCAGTGGGAATTATTCACAGTAGAAACGAGGGAGCGCTCTCCCCTCTTCCCTCACCTCTCCTCCACTCCGTTTCTCCCCTTCTCTGCCAGGCGACTGTCGCTATGGGAACTCCCTTGTCTAAACTTAAGCTTGCTTACTTCACCATTATATTTACATCATGCCCTTATAAGATACTGGTCCAGGACTAGCTTTGATACATTACACCACAATGGTAAAGATCATCACCGGTGTAAAAGGAGCTGACCCTAGATCGGAAGATAGCTGAAAGTTACCTCGCAGTCAAACAGGAGATGCAGCTGCCCGTCGATCCACTCCTCGATGTCCAGCCTCCGTTGCAGGTCCTTGCGGTTGTACTTGACCGTGAGTTTTCCCAGTCTGCGTTGAGGAGGCTCCTCTTCCACCTTCTCCTCACCCGGGGTTTGGAACAAGACCCTGTGCTGGGGACCCGGTTGGGTGGACATGCCTCTGTCTGTCTGTCTGTCTGTCTGTCTGTCTGTCTGTCAGCCCTGGTCACCAAGGAGAAGAGCAGAGAGCTTGAGTTCCTTTCAATTTCAAGCTTTATCTGTCTGCACTGCTGTTTGTCTGTCTGCACTGCTGTCTGTCTGTCTGCAATGATGTCTGTCTGTCTGTCTGCAATGATGTCTGTCTGTCTGCCTGCACTGCTGTCTGTCTGTCTTCCTCTTGTGCTCTCTCATCTGTGTATTCCTACTTCCAACCCTCTGTATCTCTCTGTATCTCTCTGTATCTCTTTGGCCTCCTTTCTTTCTTCCTCTGCCCTGCTTTCTCTTCTCTCTATCATGTTCTCCTGGACTCCCTCTTTGCCTCCACCCTCCCCCTCTCTCTCTCTCTCTCTCTCTCTCTTCTCTCTCTCTCTCTCTCCACCCTCCCCTCTCAGTCTCCTCCCCCTTTCCCTTGCGTGCCATCTTCTTCTTGCATTTCCTCTCCTCTTCCTCGCTCCTCTTACACTCTCCTCTTCCTCTCCTCTTCCTCTCTCTCTTGATACATGTCAATTTTACTTTGTTATTTTCTGCCTCTGTCTGACTGACTGTTAACAAGAAATTTGTGGAGTGGTTGAAAAACGAGTTTTAATGACTCCGACCTAAGTGTATGTAAACTTCCGACTTCAACTGTATATATATATATATTACAGTAGAGAGAGAGCGAGAGCAAGAGAGAGAGCAATTAAAAGAGTGACAGCTTGTTTACTGGGAGGTGCTAGTGTTTAATCATCGACTTCAAATCCCAGAGGAAATTATTGCTATCAAACCCACAACACGGGGAGCTTTTGACAGATGCCTTGCTGCCCTTACTTAGAAAATACATTTGGAAATATACAGTATTGCAGAGGGTACTTTTTGCAAGTCATCTATAGGCTGCTGCTTGAGAAAGAAAACATTTGCATTGTAAATTATAATTTACTGTCACGACTGTCGGTGAGATGCGGTAAAAGAAGTCAGGCGCAGGACACAGAACTCTCGGACACGTACTTTAATCCGATAAGGATCCAAAAGAACACAGAAATAACTCCACGCAGGGAGGAAATAACCCGCTCACTAAAATGACAACCGTGAAGGGAAAAACAATCACACACAATGTCCTGATGAGAGACAGGGGTAATATAAGGGAAACAATTAAACATAATGACGAACAGGTGTAAACAATACAGACAAAACTAAACAAACACCGATAACATCGAACGGCAGTAGCTAGTACTCCGGGGACGACGAACGCCGAAGCCTGCCCGAGCAAGGAGGAGGAGCAGCCTCGGCAGAATCCGTGACATTTACCTTCCTTTTTCATATCCCCACTGTGACTGGAATCCACAACTCTTTCCCCCACAGTGAAAGTAATTGAAGGGGAAGGAGAACAACAGCAATGAAAGACAACAACAAATTCTGAACCTACACATCGATGCATAACTGACCAAATTATGAAAGACAAGCATTGTAATTTTGAATTCTGTATAGTGAGTGTGGAAGAGGTGAAAAAAATATTGTTGTCTATCAACAATGACAATCCACCTGGGTCTGACAACTTGGATGGAAAATTACTGAGGATGATGGTGGACGATATTGCCACTCTTATTTGCCATCTCTTTAATCTAAGCCTATACGGGAAAGTGTGTGCCCTCATGCCTGGAGGGAAGCAAAAGTAATTCCGCTACCAAAGAATAGCAAATCACCCTTTACTGGCTCAAACAGTTGACCAATCAGCCTGTTACCAACCCTTAGTAAAGATACAATGCCATTTCACAGTAAACAAATTAAAAACAGATTTTCAGCACACATAGGGAAGGGGATTCAACATGTACGGACGGCACTTACACAAATGGCTGAGAGAAATGTATAATGTGGTCCTCTGTAGCTCAGCTGGTAGAGCACGGCACTTGTAATGCCAGGGTAGTGGGTTCGATCCCCGGGACCACCCATACACAAAAGAATGTATGCACACATGACTGTAAGTTGCTTTGGATAAAAGCGTCTGCTAAATGGCTTATTATTTATAATAAAAATATTGTGGGGGCTGTTTTGTTAGACTTCAGTGCAGCTTTTAACATTATCGATCAATTATCTGCTGCTGGAAAAACGTATGCGTTCTGGCTTTACATCTGTGCCCTGCTATATTGTGAATCGAGAGTTACCAGTCTGACAGAACACAGACGGTGTTCATTAATGGAAGCCTCTCCCAACATAATCCAGGTATAGTCAGGCATTCCCCAGGGCAGCTGTCTAGGGCCCTTACTTTTTTAAATCTTGACTAACAACATGCCACTGGCTCTGAGTAAAGGCTGTGTGTCTATGTATGCTGATGACTCAACACTATACACATCAGCTATCACAGCAAGTGAAATCACTGCAACACTTAACAAAGAGCTGCAGTCAGTTTCAGAATGGGTGGTAAGAAATACATTAGTCCAAAATATTTCAAACAACTACAAGCATTGTATTTGGGACAAATAATTCACTAAACTCTAAACCTCAACTAAATCTTGTAATGAATAATATGGAAATTGAGAAAGTTGAGGAGACTAAACTGCTAGGAGTAACCCTGGATTGTAAACTGTCATGGTCAAAACATATTAATGCAACAGCAGCTAAGATGGGGAGAAGTCTGTCCATAATAAAGCACTGTTGTCATGACTCCCTCCTTGTTCGGGCAGGCGTCGCCGTTCGTCGTCACCAGCTGACTAGCTACTGCCGCTCCATTATTCATCATTCCATTTGTCTTGTCTTGTTGATCACACACACCTGGTTCTTATCACCTCATTAGTCCGTGTATAAGTGTTCCCTCTGCCCCCCTTGTCCTTGTGGGTGATTGATTGTTCGTGAGAGTAGTGTAGCTCGGTGGAGCTACTCGTACCTTGTTATTGCCGGGGTAGATATTTCCCCTGTGCTTGTTATTGTTGGAGCTACCGTTACCTTGTATTGCCAGGGTAGATTTTCCCCTGTGCCTGTTTCGTTTGTCGCTATCCAGCGCTATTTGCGTACGACGGAATAAACTCTGCATTCGGTGATTACCCTCCTGCGCCTGACTCCTTCTATCACACTCATCACAGCTGCTCTACCTTCTTAACAGCACTATCAACAAGGCAGGTCCTACAGGCCCTAGTTTTGTGCACCTGGACTACTGTTCAGTCGTGTGGTCAGGTGCCACAAAGAGGGACTTAGGAAAATTACAATTGGCCCAGATGAGGGAAGCACGGCTGGCCCTTAAATGTACACGGAGAGCTGACATTAATAATATGCATATCAATCTCTCCTGGCTCAAAGTAGAGAAGAGATTGACTTCATCAGTACTTGTATTTGTGAGAGGTATTGACATGTTGAATGCACCGAGCTGTCTGTTTAAACTACTAGCACACTGCTCAGACACCCATGCATACCCCACAAGACATGCCACCAGAGGTCTCTTCATAGTCCCCAAGTCCAGAACAAACTATTGGAGGCGCACAGTACTACATAGAGCCATGACTAAATGGAACTCTATTCCACATCAAGTAACTCAAGCAAGCAGTAGAATCAGATTTAAAAAACAGATAGAAATACACATTATGGAACAGCGGGGACTGTGAAGAGACACAAACACAGGCACAGACACGTGCATACACACACGATAACATACGCACTATACACACATGTACACATGGATTTTGTATTGTAGATATGTGGTAGTAAAGTATTTAATGTGTTGTGAAATCTGTTGTGAAATGTAATGTAATTAAAAAATTTTGAATTCCCTTAATTTTGCTGGACCCCAGGAAGAATAGCCTCTGCCAAAAACATTAACCATCAACTGTTTAATTTACATAGTTTAAAGGTAAACTCAGTGATATGATGTAATCAAGTGATATGATGTAGTCAATACAGTGGGCCAACTTCCTGCTTATGGACATCAACAACAACAGAACTCCATTCTGTCACAACCATTGGATCTTTACAAATGATGCCCTCACTCGTTCGTTCATGTTATATCATTGTTATGAATAGGAACTACACTATCAACCTGAACACTTACGCTCCGAACAAAAAACATGTTTGACATGAGCTAAGTGTAACTATGCAGCTCTTGGTCTGACCTTTGACCTGTGTCCTTGTATACTGTTTCCCATGTTCTTTGTGGGTATCTATCTTCTGGTGTTACGTAGTACCAACGTGTGTCCCACATGGCACCCTATTCCCTATATTATGTACCGTACTACATTTGTAGTACACTAGGGAATAGGGTGCCATTTGGGACACTGCGTAAGTGTCCCATTTTCTTACACGAACCTACACATGCAGCAAACAGCCAATAACATTACTCATGCTTGCTTTCCTTTGTCTTTGTTTGAGACCTTTGTCACAGAGGTAAGGCGATCCCTGTGCATACATATAGCGTAACGTAAGGGAATATAGACAACAAAGGTCAAGGGATTACAGGTAGAGACAAGTTAGCCAACGACCACCTCAACAACCACCAACTGATACTAATTAGTTTTTTGTTTTTTTTGTTATGTTTTATAATATAACATACAGTATATACCGTTTTATATATTGTATCATATTACATTAAAGAGCATGCCTTTGCAAAACGGTCACAAAATTATATAGCCTATATAGACCGTTTCCCTAACGGGATAAGAGTATAATATCTTTCTTCTTAGTGTATTTTTCTCCTTACCATACTGCATCTTTCTCCTTACTGTAATTACTGTACATGAGTGTCTATCTTTCTCCTTACTGTAATTACTGTACATGAGTGTCTATCTTTCTCCTTACTGTAATTACTGTACATGAGTGTCTATCTTTCTCCTTACTGTAATTACTGTACATGAGTGTCTAACTTTCTCCTTACTGTAATTACTCTACATGAGTGTCTATCTCTCTCCTTACTGTAATTACTGTACATGAGTGTCTATCTTTCTCCTTACTGTAATTACTCTACATGAGTGTCTAACTTTCTCCTTACTGTAATTACTGTACATGAGTGTCTATCTTTCTCCTTAC